GCTATAATAATAATTTGTTTTTTGTGACTTGCAATGCCTGGTTGGTGTGCTGTTCACTGCCACTGTGGGTTTTTTCCAAATTTGTGGGTTTTTTCCAAAAACCATAGAAAGAAAAAATTCTAAAGCAATGAGGAAAGATTATCAAATTGTATACTCTTCTTGTGTATTTCAGAAGTCTTTTCAATTTTGGCACCCCCCCAAAGTTTGGTGGGTGACAAATTTGTGGGTTTTTTTCCAAAAAGCATAGAAAGAAAAAATTCTAAAGCAACGAGGAAAGATTATCAAATTGTATACTCTTCTTGTGTATTTCAGAAGTCTTTTCAATTTTGGCACCCCCCCAAAGTTTGGTGGGTGACAAATTTGTGGGTTTTTTTCCAAAAAGCATAGAAAGAAAAAATTCTAAAGCAACGAGGAAAGATTATCAAATTGTATACTCTTCTTGTGTATTTCAGAAGTCTTTTCAATTTTGGCACCCCCCCAAAGTTTGGTGGGTGACAAATTTGTGGGTTTTTTTCCAAAAAGCATAGAAAGAAAAAATTCTAAAGCAACGAGGAAAGATTATCAAATTGTATACTCTTCTTGTGTATTTCAGAAGTCTTTTCAATTTTGGCACCCCCCAAAGTTTGGTGTCCTAAGGGACTGCCTAGGTCACCTAAGCCTAGAACCTCCTCTGGACAAATGCCTCTTTGGTTCTGAGGGAAGGATGGGAATTGGACCAACTAGCTATGCCCAATCATAGCCCAATACATCTGTAAGCTTTGTCCCTCTGCAACCCTATTACATTTTCTTTTGCTTTTCGCCCATTATTGAAAGCAAAGTGGGTGACCAGCGTGCATGTCAGCATTGGTGGGAGAGCTAATTTACACAAAGGGGGGCAGCACACTTTTATAGTGTTCTTCCAGTTAATTTTCTCTTGCCATTCTAGGGAAACGTTTTCTTCCAAAGTCATTTTTGAAACCAGCAACAGCAGCTTTAATAAAAAGCTGGGGGAGGGGGAACACCCACATCTGTTCTCTCACCCAGCAAAACTATTTCTAAACCAGCATTTGAAGGCAGTTTAGGGATTATAGGGCAAGTGACATGAAGCACAGATCAGTTCTGTTCCTCAGTGGTTCCTGACTACCACTAGCTTTGCCTGGCACCTGTGTTTATGTTGTATGCCTCCCAGAGTCACAGTTTGAGCTGGGCAGCCAGATAAATCTTGAAATCAATCAATCAATCTGCTTGCTGAAAGGAAAAGTAGCTATGATGCAGCAACAATCTTGGTGTCAGTGACAAATACGAGCAGAATTAAGACTGCATGAAGTTTGCCTGAATCCCCCAGATTGTAAAATGTAAGCTGAGAGAGGTTGCTGTACGGGCACAGGGACTGTGAAGTGTTCGGACCATTGTGGCATTTAGTCTAGTAATGTCAGGATTTGAGGCAAGAGTATTTCTTGTCTTTCCTTGAGAGGCTAGGGATGGAACTGGAACTTCCTCTATGTGAAAAGTATGCTCTGTACTGAGGGATGGTCAACCCAAGGAGTACCTCAGGTGGTAAATGCTCCAAGGTAGCAACTCTTTCCATTCCAATGCTGACCTGACATTGATGATAAACTCCTCAGGCCGAGTAAAAAAACTTCAACGTTCGTAATTCTTGGATTTGGTGGCTTTTGTTTACTCTTCCCATTAGTCCTGGAATCTTTTCTGTTCCTATGCAAGACCCATGTATTTTGGGTTACAGCATAATATTTCATCTCTTTATTTAGCCCTCAAAATTGCTTGATACCATGCAAATGTATTTTATTTAACGTTTTCTTAAAGAATTGCCATTCTGTAACATACTGCAGAATATACAGTAAAAGGGAAGGAATATAAGGGTACAAAAATGCCATTTCTTTATAAAGCAGTATTTATTAAAATAAGGAAAAATCCTTGCTTTGATGAATGGCTCATGCTATGATATAGTTAACCCCCAAAATGTTCATTTCTGTTCTACCCCAGCACATTTAATATTTATCTTGTACCAATATTTAACCCAGTTTTTCAAAACTTTTTTTTTATAGAGAAAATATATTTCAGCAGTAGCTATTGGTACAGTTGGTACAATTTCCCTGGCACTAAAGATACACAATAGTGATTTTTTTCCTGAATGCATTCGATTTAACCCACAGGGGAAGCACAACTTCTCATTTCCTCTGAGCAATATCCATCTGCTCAGAACATCTTATTTTCCCTCTGTTGAAGCTAACACTGGATTTTGTACTATAATGAATGGAAACAGAAGACATCCAAGTACCTTTCCATTCTATTCCAAGTAAAGCAAAGCATGCCTTAGAGAACGAGAGCTACCAGCTACAGCTTTGAGAGAAATGACCCTGATGCATATAATCTAAGGCTAAGAGATGATTCACAGATGTTTCAGAGATGTTACTAGGCATCATGGCTTTCAAATCTCTACATGTGGCAAAGTAAGATACGTGCTGGAACATTTTGCACATTATACTTACAGAAAGAATTGTTTTCTCCCCTACTTTTCCCAATAAACAAACTTAAGAATGATTAAGCATTATTGTTTATAATAAGAATTCATTTCCAAATAATTTGCAGATTTGTTCCTGAAAAAAAAATGGACAAATCTCAGATTATTTCTGTTTTATAGAATCATAGACGTAGAAGGGTCTATGTAAACCAAAATGTCACACCCAGTGCTCAGTGCAGAAATCCAAATTAAAGCACCCCAGCTGATCATTATCTATTTCTCACTTTAACTCATCAGGTGTTCTTGGTAACTGGTTCCACTGACAAACTGCTCATGTAATGAGGATTTTTTTTATAAAGTTAATTAGAATGTGCCTTCCTAACTTAAATCCATTATTCCATGTCCTGCTGTTGGAATAATAGGAAGTTCTGTGTGACATCTTTTCTGGTACTTGAAGAGTGCTATTAAAACCTCCCTAGTCTTTTCAAGGCTAAACATGACCAGCTCCTTCTATTTCTGTTCATGGGATTTAGTTTCTAGTCTGCTGATCATCCTTATTGCCTTTACTGTTCCAGTTTCTCTAAATATTAAAATTTGGTCCCCAAAATTGGATGCCGTACTTGAGGTGGGGTCGCATCATCACAGAACAGATTTTTTTTCTGTGATATGGACAATATATTTCTGTCAATTTACTTACCCATTCTTCTAACAAAAGCTTATGCCTTTTAATAAAATATGTTAGTCTAAAAAGATGCTACCAGGCCCCTACTGATTTTGGACTTCCATTGACTAACACAGCTCTCTTTCTACAGTGTCAAAGAGAATACAAGAAAGTTTGGCTACAGCTTTCATAGCCTTGGAATGCAATTCATCTGACCTTGGACATTTAAACACAAAGTTAAAAAAGTGTTTCCTGATCATGTTTCTATCACTCAAGGTTATTTTCTTTTGGGAGAAAACTAGAAATGAAGTAACTCCACATTTTTGTCATCAAGCATCAGGCATACTGATAATTTTTCTTTAATATTGAACATATATAAATAAGTGCTTTTTGTTTTTCTTAGTATTCTTCTGGCAAGCAGGGCTGAACTCGTAAGATGATAGGCTGGTAGTCTCAAGCAATCACTGAGCTCACATGGAGATATAAAACATTGGACTTACGCACTTCCAGACTAAAATAAATAAATAAATAACACAGCTTCTGTCTAAAACATTTACCTATTTCTTAAAGATAACCAGAATCCTGAAGTGAAGTCCTTGGCTTCTTTTCCCTGGACCTTCCTGGTCTTTGGAGATAATTTCAGAGTTGTTTTTCTGTTGGGGAGATGGTACTCCCTACTTCTTTCCACTTTAGGAATAGCAACTTCTTTCTCTGTTTCCCCAACATTCTGCTTCTGTTTTTAAAAGAACAAGGCTTTTTTTACCTGAATAGAAAGAGGCCTGGGGCATCTTCCTTGGGTTTGTGGCAGAAGTCATGCCTTCCCCAGCCAGTATTCCCAGTCTGGGAAGCCTCACAACAATCCTTCACCAATCTGAGCTCATTCTGAGTTTCAGCTTTCCTGGTGTCATCTCTACAATTCCAGGATACCTCATGGTGACCTGGCCCATTTCCTACTCTAGTATAGGTCCTTTTGGTTTTCATCACAATTGTTTGCAATTGTGCTTTTAGGAACTCTGCTTCACCTTGAGCTCTTTCTCTTGATATATGTCCATTTTTTATAAAAAACATTTCCAGTCATTATAACATTCACTCAGGCTTGAGAAAGCAAGGGTTTTTAGTTAATCCAAACTTCAAAAAATATTTATGAATATTCAGTAAGATTCCAAATCCCCCTATTTTTCCATATGTTGCTCGTTGACCATTCGTTTGACAAGACAACAAATAAATCAAGTATTTATCACTGGGATACTGGGAGTTGGGTACCACATAAAGTTAATAAATTATTTACATATTTAATTTTATTTTGTGTCTCCCCGATTCCTCTACTATAGCAATTCCTCTATGCTAGCCTAAAATTTCCAAATCTAATTCTTTTAGGGAGTCCCAGCACACAGCACTATGCTATCCTTACACACGAGGCATTTTGTACACCCTGGATCACACACTAATTGCATTTTAGCCTGGGGGTGCTTATAAACCCAGCAGGGTGGTTAGTTTTAGTATAGTTCAGTGTTTTGCGAAGCCAGGAAATAAAGCTGAGGAGACCATGACTGAGCATCGTCCTGCCAATTCAGCCAGTTTGTGATGCAGTTTGGAGCATTAGAAAGGATTTAAAAATCAGTCTGACTGGGGGCACTAGCTCTACTTCCGTCCGATGCTACTGTCTGAAATGGGCTGGAAACCACCCAGGAAGCTCGAACGAGTACCATCCGTCGGTTAACCGGCGCCGCCAGACTAAATCAGCCTATTCCGCCTTTCGATCAAGCTCCCTTTCCTTCTTTGGGCGGTAAAGCGACTTAAGTAACCTGGCATTTGGCTCCTCCTCCCCGGGGGCGGGGCCTGCCGCGCCTCTCCGCTCCTGGAAGCTCCTCGGCTCTGACTGGTGACGCAGCTAAGTGCTCGAGCTCTAGAACGCAGGCCCGGCGAGCTTCGGCTTTTGATCCCGCTCGGCCTCGAACGTTGTGTGCAGGCAGCGGCTCTTTCCCCTCCCCCCGGAAGATCTTGAGCAGGAAAGGCGGACACGAACGAACGAAGGAGACCTAGCCTGCGAACCCCGCTGAAGGCCGAGCTTGGCAATTGCTGGCGCGTGAGGAGCAGCTTCGCTTTCTCGTCCCGGTGACCAGAGCTGGAGGAACCTTGGAGACGTTCAGCGGGGAGCTTGGAGGAAGCCTCCGCGAAGACCAGCCTGGGTGAGTTGACTTCCCGGGCGCCCGTTTTTTTCTTGTTTTATCTGATTATCTGTAGGAACTTGCCCACAGTTACGTGCGCGAGCGGTTACAGGACGGCCGCGCTTGCAGCGCGCTCCTACCTTGGATGCCAGTTTTGGTTTTAGGCAAAAGTTTTTTTTTCCCCAATAAGCGAGAATATCTGTAGCTCAGGGTTGAACTGTGGAGTTCTTGGTGCTCTCTGAGCTTGCTGGCTTGCTTGCAGACGTTTCGTTACCTAACTGGGAAATATCACTTGTTTTTTTTTTAAGGAAAACGAGGAGAAAAAGGACGGGGAGGTTGCCGGTCATTCGTGCTGTCGTTCACGTTACTATAGCGGAGAGGCTTCTGCTCGCGGGGTTTTTATCCGTCTGTCCGCCTACCCCAAAAATCCCCCTTGCCTTTGGTATAAGTGAAACCGAAACACAGTATCCCATGTGTTAGAATAGGCAGGGGTTAAATTTGATGGAGGCGAAGGGGTGTCCTTTCTAACGCCTTTTTAAAAAGCCAACCATTTTCTTATTTAGGCTATAACAGCCTTAAGAGATAAGAACTCGGCCATGGTTAGAACAGGCCTCTTACTCATCTTTTTCATGGTGCGTGCATATTTTTCTCTTTTCTTACCCCAAGGACGTTTCTGTTTAAGTAATGCCCTCCTAATGTGTGCATGCATTTATAAAATAATTAGAACTTTGGGGTGATCTGTCGCATACTTTATTAGGAGATTGTTTTCGAGTATAAGTAGCCTGCTGTGACAATTACTTTGTTCTGCATTCTTTTCTGCTTATAAAGCTGATTTTCTAAAAATGAGTCCTTTTCTCAAAAGAAGACAAAGGTCCTATGGCTTCTGAGTGGGGGAAGAAGAGAGGGAAGGCTAACTTCTTGCTTGGAATGACTGGAAGAAATCATGGTTTACAACCAATCTGGCTGCATTCACACAACACGCTTTTCCCAAAATGATGAAACCTCAATTTGGCTTCCTGTATTAAGTGAATCAAGCCAGAATAGACATTTACAGTAACACATTTAGGGAATTGATATTTCCTTTTCCTTCCTTTTTGCTTGAACTGACAGACTTCTTTTATCCTTGTCCTTTTGATACTGCTGAATTGCAGCTCTAATAATGTAATTGTCGTTTGTGGGAAATAAAAACAAATTGTAATGTTGTACATTTAGTACTATGGTTTTTTAAAAAGCAATATAAATCTACAGATGAATTGTTGGTTCACAGATAGCAAAATGAAGTGCAAATGGGTGTAATGGATGTTCTGCTGTGTAACAATCCATATTTTTTCAAATTAAAGGCAACATAGAGGGGCCTCTAATCAGGGAACGCCCCCCCCCGCCTGTTTATAGCTGTGGATGGAGAAAAGACCTTTCTTCCACAGGTTTGCATGTGTGATTTTAAGTTGGGGAAGGTCATGAAGTACAGAGGTATCAATCTTATTTAGCAGATGATCCAGATTCAGTGTTATTGAGTTGGCTCTCCAGTATGTTGTGAACTGCTATCCTCCATAAGTTTATCAGTACAATATGTATATGGTATGTATATACTAGAGACATAAATGAGAATTACATTGCTCTTGAAAGATAAGGAAGCCCCCCCAAAATGTTTTCCATCTTCTTTGACTTCTGTAACATGATTGTGGAATGATTGTTTGATAACTTATTGCTTTCTTTATATTAGTCCTGTGAGCTGGTGCTTTAGGCAACAAATCAGAGTAGCATTGCATTGCCATAGAGCTAATGAAATAATTGATCTTCTCTGCAAATGATAATACTTGTACCAGAACAGTACAGGAGTTTAGAGTATATGTCATTGGCACCATTAAAGGTAGACTATCTGGAATTTAAATAAATTATAGCTCTATTACAACTGGACATTTAAAGTTCACCAGGGGAGAGGAATGTGACTGCAGGCTACAGATAAATTGTGTCTTTTTTTCTAGAGGTGGCACTATAATATTGTTTGAGTGGTGTTGCTTTTCCCATAGCAAACCATGTAAAATATTCAGAAGATCAGAATTTTTTTTTTCCATATCTATATCAGACGTCCTGATTAGGACTTTGGCTATGTAGATATGTACACATATACCTGCCAAGGACAATTGGAGTGTGAAACTAGGTGAAGCTGCCACAATCTAAAGATGAAGCAGCCACTTAAGCAGAGAGGACAAAAGCTAAAAATCTTGTCAACAAGATCCCTTGGGGAGGTAGAAAAGGAAAGATGTCCTTAAGGATCAAAAGATAAATGAAGCAGACAAAGGAGGCTGGGCCTGAGCACATTAAACCCCCCAAATCCCATCTACAGCTACAGGTAGTCCTCATTTACTGACCACTCCTTTAACTTCACAGCCAATTTAGGACCATTTATGACGTTCACAGTGTCCGTCAGTCATGCAATCACCATTACAGTTGATACACAACCTGTGCCTAACCTTTTTTTCTTTCTTTTTTCCTCTCTTGAAAGCAGAGAGATTGGAGAGGAAGGAATTGCAAGAGAGTAAACGGTCTGCTCTTCTACACACCAAAAGCAATGCAACTGTGCTGGCAGCCCAAGGCTAGAAGCCGCAGGTGCGCTATACAAATAGCTTACAGTACTCTCTTGAAATCCCCTTCTCTCCAATCTCTCCACTCCGTGGGGGGGGAGGAAAAAAACAAGTGATTTCTGTAGGCAGTCTCTACTTTGCCTGACCCTTTCCCCCTCCCCCACAGAGCAGAGATTTGAGAGAAAGGGATTGCAAGAGAGTATGCTGCTTGTTTTTCTACACATTGAAAGCAATGTGATTGTGCTGACAGTGGGAAAGAGTCTATTGCACCTACAGGTAGTCCATGGGGTACAATGGCAATTGGAACTGGAATTGCAATGGCAATTCTGGCGGTCCTGGTTGCTGTTGTTAAGGGAGGACTGTGCAGGTTGTTAAGTGAGGACCTCATGTGTTCGTGACTTCCATCTTCCTGCTGGCTTCCCATTGACTTTGCTTGTGGGAAGCCAGCAGGGAATGTCAGAAATTGTGCTCACATGACCACAGAGACACTGCAACAGCCAAAACTTTGAGAACCCATCTTAAGTCCCCCTTGTTTAGTGCTGTCACAAGTTTGAATGGTCACTGAATGAGTGGTTACAACCCTAGGACCACCTGTATAAAGAAGGCAGCAGGATGATTCAGAGAGAATATCCATGTGGAAATTGGTTACTGGGGATAGGAGTATCTGGTCAATGTAAGGATATACACCTGATCCCTGCGGGCCCCTTGTAGCCCCTGTGATGCAGGTTGTGCAGTTTTTGGTACTGAATATGCAGCCTTTCAAAGAAGAGGAAGTGCTGCTTTCAGATTTACTGACATGGTAAAGAAAACATTTGAAGAGCTTATGAAGTAGAAGTGGTTTTAATCAAAAAACTGAAATAGTGCAGGGTGCTCTATCACATTTGCTCTTTGAAGTTGCTAATATCAGTAACACAAGAGTTAAAGTATGATCTTGAGTGGAATTTTTTCTAAAGCATTTGGCAACATGCAAAGCTTAAAAAAAATGGCTAAGGGTATTAAAATCTCTTACGTGCAATGTTTACATTTCAGTACCAATTAATTACATAATTGTTACTTAATGTGGTTCTGTGGTTGTGGGGTATTTTATGGTTGATAAAATATTTTAAAATATGATTAGCTCTTTTTTGGGAGGAGAGATGAAAGGTAATTCTACTATGGGAAAGGACAGATTATTTTACTCTTGTGACATAAATACTGTATACCCACAAAATAAGTCAAAGTATTTTTTAAATTGTTGCTGTGTAGTTAATACAGATGTAAAGATGATTACTGAGTTGTTTCTCAGATAGTTTATCTGGTTATCCTATTTGGACATGCCGTACACAGGCATATTTCTAAGCTGCTTTTAGAGATAGTTTTAGAGAGAGTCCTTTTTTTTTTAGAAAGAATAAATAAAAGTGTGAAGTTAATTCAGATTTTTAAAATATATATTAGATTCATTTGATTTAATCTGTATGGTACAGTGGACTTCTTCTCAAAAAGAAATGCTGTTCTATGAAATACTGCTTTGTTCAGTACTATTAAACTTAAGTTCAATGTCTGTCCAGTGTCCAGCATATAATTGAATCCATTTTTTCTCTCCTGTGTCCCGTATGTAATTGAGTCCAATTAATTTATCTTGTGCTCTTAATAAACTATCATTTTCTTATGAACTCAATAGCTGAACAGTATTTATACTGTAGGATACCATTTGAGATTTTGATTTTGCTTTTATTGGATTTTCCTTAGATTTGGGTGAGGAAAATACTGAAACTTTAATTAAATTGGAATATTGGGTCCATTTTGAACCTATATATTTACAAAAACCTGAGATAGAATGCAATACTATTTTCTATAGTAAGTAAAAGCTATTTATAATAGAATGCAGCAAAAAAATGTACATTTGGGTAGCCCAAGGAATGAATTAATTGATGTTGTCACGTTTGGATATTGGGTTGTAAGTTAGCTATTTTCATGGCTGTGCATGTCAGTTCATCTGGATCATGGTCCTGGCTCTATCCTATACAAAATAGGAAACCAGAATTCTGGCTTATTGTTCACAGACAGCTTATTGTTATTTCTATTGAAAGTGGGTTTGGCTAACAAATTCAGTTAGAAATTATGTTTGAATAAAGTCCTGGCTTCTCTTTCTTCGAAGAGAAGAAAGTCATTTTTGTTTGATTTCAATTCAACAACTCTAAACACGGAGTTCTATTGGTCCATTAACTTTCTGTATATCTAATTGCTTCTACTTGATGCTAAATGGGAGAGATTAAGTAGTATGGACAGCTTTCTTTATGAATAATAAGCCAGGATTCTACAAAATTGTGCCTTAGCATTTGTGAACACACCTGTTGTCTTGTGACAAACATTGGCCTCAAATTCTCAGACTGTGTTGTCTGCCATTTTTTAAGCTGGTATCCATTATGCAGTTTTCTGAGCTGGTGATAGCAGTTA